ATTGAATCCCAGCAGAGTTTTCTGATAAATTCACTGATCTCAGCCTCACGTGATGCTTTTTCCTCGAGTGTCCTCACTAAGTTCCCCTGCCCCTCATGGTTTCTCTCTATGAGTCTTGCTCTGCCTTCTTTATCCAGGTCGAACGTCTCGAGGGGTAATTTAGCCACCTCTGATGCTTTTTCGTTGTCGTCTATGAGTGCCTTCAACTGAAATTTTCAAGGGGCTGAGAGTCTAACCCACCTGTTTCTTCCTTATTCTTTATGATTCAAACCCGGAGTGATTGTTAAATTCGATCAGTTCTTTTCAAGTCTATCCAACCAATGTTACCTTATCTCTCAGGTTTCCAAAATCAGATAATATCGATGCTCTTTCAATCGCAAACTCATCTCGCTCCCTATCGAGTTTCTTTGCTTCCTTCACCTCCATCCACGTCAGATCTTCGTCCCATTCAGTTCGAGTGGAGCTCGAGAGCACCACCTCAACATTCGGGACATGATCTCCAATCTCCACAGACTCCAATTGACTGAAAAACGAATTAATGTTGACTCAACTCTGCGAGTAACACTGAATAATTCCATCATATTTTTTCTAACTTCCATTTTCTCATAATTTAATCGTTATTATATAATCTTTTGATAATCATCATTTTTATCCCTTAATTTTTGAAAAGATGTTTGATTTGTTTGATGGGTTCTAACAAATTTACCAATTCAATATAATTTTGAGAATTTAATCTCCTGTTTCACCTGATTTTCGATGCAACCAAATTCCCATTCTTTCCCAGGGTAATCAGCATGCTGGTCGAAAGGCTGACAACTGCCAACTTGATGCCACCCTCTTGACGATGATGAGTCGTGAAAAGACAGAGGAGCTCACTCAGACTGGCTCTATTTCTTATTGCAACGAGTCCGTCGTAACCGAAAGTAATGACGTATCTACTATCAGTATTTATTTTTACATCTCGCAGGCGATGGGAGGACAATTGCGCGTCTGCCAGAACGAACCTCTGATAATCATCCTGAAAAATCGGTGAAATCCAAAGAGAACACATTAGAAAAATTAATAAAAAACCCCAGCGATTTATCTATGAATTTTTACTACATTTATTTGACAAAACCTCTTTGCTTAATTAACTAATTCTATAAGAAATAATATGAATTCATTTGGTTATTTTGTAGAAAAA